CTGCAAACGCACCCCTTAATGTGTTTCACAATGACGGTAAATATGTGAAATGATATAAAAAACAAAAGATGATGTGATTGATTTAATGATGAATGGGCCAATCAGCAGTCTAACCTACATGTAATTGTGGGTTTTAGTCATCATCATAATCATCATCATCATCATCATCATCATCGGCGTGTCTCAGATGAGATGGTGAGACATTTCAAAGAAACAATGTCCTGTGGAAAACTGGCTCCATTAAGCCGGGAGATGGAGGTGCACCTGAAGAATCACACAGCTCTCACCAGCAAATTTAATCTCAGACGAGGCAAACGATGCACTCCATTTGACTAATCACCCTGCTGGAATGTCACACCACAGCAACCATCCATCCGTATCTTCATATCGCCACTCACTATGATGTAACGTCATCGGTATACTTGGACATTTATCTTCTATTGTAATTTTGTCTCCTTTTCTTCTTAATAATCTTTTTTAATTGGGGAAACAAAATGAATACAGAGGTAGATAATTACAAGTGCTTCTCATTTTTGTTATGGTAGAAAATGATATACTACTAGTAAATTATAGTGTAGGAATATCAGTCAGTGAGCAAGGTTTGTATGGAGGTAAAGTAATGAAAGAAAACTTTTGCAGAGGTGTCTTTCACGCAGAATCTTATCTTTTCTAACTTTATAAAATACATAACAACTTTAAGAGTGTGAGAGGAGAAGTAGAGCAGAGAAATAGATGGAGCCGCAGGAGATTTCCATAGAAGTAAAATACGGCATCTTGCCAAAAGATAATATGTCTGACTGTGAAGAATGATGTTAAGAGGAATCAACAGAGACCACAATTATCAGTATAAAAGGGATCCTCTTTATAGTCCAGAGTTTATATAATCTGAGACAAAAGAAGAACATGAAACTCAAATTACTTTTTTAAAGTTATTTTGTGCCTTCATTTGATTGGACAGTGTAGAGAGACAGGAAATGTGAAGAGAGAGAGAGAGAGAGAGAGAGAGAGAGAGAGGGGAATGACATACAGCAAAACGTTCGGCCGATCGAGTCAGACCAGTGACTCGTCCGCTCAGAGATTGTGCACCCACAATGCACCCGAACCATTTGGCTGTCGGAAGTGCGACATCTGTCACGCTCGTTGCAACATGTGAACAGACAGGGATGCACTCTGTGTATGATCTGGAGTTGTGTAGGTTCCTGTAGCCTTGAACATACTCACCTTCATCCCACGTCTGATCTGGTAAATCCAGATCAGACGTGGGATGAAGGTAAATCTGGTAAACCATATTATCGATAAAATATATATGACATGACATATCAGGTGGAAAGATGTGTTTTAATTCATGCTGATGAATCAAACTCCACACCAACCACTGGTTTAGTGACTGTTAGTCACTGAAGAAATCAAATAATGTTAATAACTTAATATCTTGTATGATCTGGATAAATTGAGCATCAGGGCTCTAAAACATTTTCTTCCCATGTTCACAGGCACATCGAGCTAGAACACAGTGAGCTAGTTGAGCTGGTTGTAAGCTAGTTAAAGTCAAACATAACTGTGTCGAAGGCTTTTTAATCTGCAGTCTGTGGTGGATGCGGGGGTTTCAGGTCACATGGCCTCCTACAAACATGGAGGCGAGTTCCCAACATTTAGAAATGTAAATTAGACTTCTATTTACCGTAGCTACCGGTGGCAACTGGAGGTTAAGAGACAAAACCAGCAAATGAAAAAAATGGTTGTGCAGCATGAGGTCAATAAACATCATATGTCATGTGAAGTGACAAGTAAACCATTGGTGGCAATCAATGTGCAACAACAGCCCACTTCACTGCACTTATGTGTTCACTCATCTTCTCGTGTGGTCACAGAGAGCTCACAGTGTAACAGCTGGCTACTAGTCGAGGATGAGACTGGACCTCAGATGGACATAAATAATGAGGGGACGGCTCGGGGTCATGTGAGTGAATGGTTGTAACAATCCATTTACTTTTCAGTGAATACAAAAATCCATTTGGATACAAGGGCACTTCGACATGCGGCCTGGAGGAGCCGGGGATCGAACCGCCGACCTTCCAATTAGTGGACTTCCCATATGATCTTATGTGGATTCTTTACTGCTTCCTTTGACAAGCACAAGGAGAACATTTACTATTTCTGCCTTTGAATTCATGCTGAAATCACCATCTTGATCCACAAGACTTTAAAGACAAAAGACTTTAAAGACACAAACAAGGAGGAAGGTGACACCAGTTGAAAAAAAAAAAAGGTCTGAGTCTGATTGTTTGGTGGAGACCAAGTTCAAACAACAGCTTAAAGCGGGGGTCTGGAACCTCTTCCTCTGAGAGCTACTTTGACTAGATAAAAGCTGCTGAGAGCTCCTCATGGTTTACATCACTGGTCACATTTATTCACATAAACTATCAAAACACTCAAACTGATCTCCAAACCAAGATGAATACAAGTCATCACATATCAAGATCCCAAACATCTGAAACTCACCTCAGACAAAAAGAGTCATGATTCAGTCAGAACACACAGACATGACAACACCGCTGTAAATAAACCTCGATAAATCTGATTAGAAACCAGAGAAGAAGAAGCTCCTCGCTCAGTGATCAGTGACGGTTGTCAGTACATCCAATGGTACATGATGAACAGGAAGTTAAAACAAATCATTCACTATACTTCATTTTCCAAAATGTAAACAAACATGTACTAAAAAGACAGGGCTCAAGTTTAATCCCACAGTTTAATGTACTGTATCCATGGCAACATATTTTTGTTTTTTGGAAAAGTTGAGTTTATGTCTGAACCGCTGGGAGCTGGCGAGCCACATGTTAGAGACCCCTGGCCTAAATGAACCAAAGTGAACAGGGATTTACATTCACGCTTGTTCAAACAGACACTAAATACGTGTCTTGTTGATGCTCATCAGTGAGGTGTTAATTCACTGAAATCAGATGCTCATTTACAGCAGACTTTACTTTCATATTTAGATAAAATTACACATTAAGTTATTTTTTTTCATTTTCTTGCTTTCCTCCCTTATATCATTATACATTATACCCCATATAGAAATGTAATAAACACATTCTCTGGCTATGTGAAGGTATAAGTTTAAAACATATATGAAATACCTCTAGTATAATGTTTACACATAGATTAAATTAAAAATATCTCTGATGAATTTCTATGGTATAACATGTTATGACCATAAATGTTAATAATAAATATTCAATTTATATATGCTTATTTAAAACAACATAAAAAAATACATATATATATATATATAATATAAAAATTCTATCCGCATATATGTATTTTTTATATTAATTTGTCATTAATGTTAAACAACTCTATCTTTGGGATGGATATATATGTATGCAACATACATATGTCTACAATATAAGCATACATACATACACATGGGGTAGACATATATGTCAATATATGAAATTGTTCCAATTTATAGGTTTCATATATATGTATATTTTTACATGTTTATATGTACATATATGGAAATTCAATATATGTATTTGCATTTTTTTACTGTAGTGTCTACAGTGAGCAGTATACATTCGCAGATTCCAGCACATTATTATTTGTGTTGGAAAAAATTTTAATCACAAAAATATACAAATTAGACAAAGACAAACATCCATTAATATATGGAATACTTATAAATGATGTGTATGATGCCTGGAATTTTATTTTCTGACACATTTGTGTTAATGGAACGCAAATGGAACGTTAAATGTGATTTGTTATTCTGCTGCATCCCATTCATTCATTAGAGCACATGACCTGGCCCCTCCCATTACCTCTAATGCAGACAGAGACGAAAGACTCTCAACCTCAAACCTCCAAAGCCTCCGTGTTAGGAAAAAGAAAATCTCATTTTTGCTTCAAATCCCAGCGATCAATCTTTTCCTCCCGCCTGTCCATCTGTTATCTTCTCCCATTTGTCTGGGGTCTATTTTGCCCCATCCATCCACACGCCACGCCATAAAGCTAACTTCTCTGACTGCCTCATCGCACAACACCGCTGCTCTCTCTGTCAAGCCTGAGGTCAGCTTGGGGAATGAGATGGCGTTGCAAAGATAGTGGAAAAAAAATGTCACCCGGGAATGAAATATTGATGGACAGAAAGGCCTCGCCTCTTTCTCCTGGCCGCGGGGCGTGGAGCGAGCGTCAGGCGGTCGATGGGCAACAAAAAGGAAAAGCCAAAACAAACACACTAATCTGCACGCAGAGAGCAAAGTGTGAACGCAACAATCCTGTCCCTCCTCTCCCTCTGAGGTATCCTTATCTCCTCCCTCCCTCTGAGCAAAGCCATAATCAGATTCACTTGCACTTCACTTGATGCGGTTTATTTTCAGCCGGAGCCTTCCAGGCTTAACATATGATCCCCTTCTGGCAAATAAGGAATCAATACAATGTAAATAAGTAGAGGGAAAATAAATCCCAACATCTGAATTTGCATAACAAGATGCAAGGTGGGTGAAACATGTCAGCCTTGTTTAAAAGTGGCTGCTGGCTGTTTTTAGGGAGCTTCAATTACAAAGCAGGAGAGACAGCAGAGAGAAAGAGATGTCATCCCCCTGCCGCTGAACAAAAGCAGTCCTATTGTTTGCTTCTGCAGAGTGCACTCACACAACTCATCGAGACGTCGTGTCAAGAAAGAGTCCAGCTGTGTTTGGTATAAATATATGTGCAGTAGCATGCAGTAGGGGACAGGTGCATATAGGCAGTTTACCAGGCTGTCACTCAAGTAACTGTATAATAGATCCAAGTCATATGGAGCTACATCTGTGGTTAACAAAGAAATCAAGCCTTGTGTTTCTGCTGAGGTGCACAGAAGCTGAAATCTCCTCAAGGTCAATAAACACTACATTTATCTAACTCAGAACTTTCTACGTATCAATCGCATGTCTCCATCCATTTCAGGGTCCAGCTCATTTCCATTCATAGCTGAAGGAATTGACAGAAAAACTCACCATTGATCCATTTGGCTTCCGGGTCGTGGACCTTGAACTCAGGTTTGAACAAATCCTCCACAGTCAGTTTGGTGTCACTCCCAGCTTGGTTGTCAGCTGCAAGTAAAACAAGCCATAAATTAAGTTGTACGGTGTTTTTTAGTAAAATGTGTGTCCCATTTAGATGTTCTCTTCTCAGTTCTATGATTAGCTGACCTTGGTACAGAGTGTTGCAGGAATCAGTCCTAATACCCAGAAATGACTTAGCATTTTAGCACTTCTGGTTCCCTCGTCCTGCAGTCTGTGGGCTTTTGGTTAAATGCCTGAGGTCTGTGGTTAACACAAGCTCCACACATTTTTTCACATTTTATTCTATCATAAAATCCATCAGTAAATACTCCAGTCCTGACTCTTCTACATCTGTTAAAAAAGGCCTGCTGCTAACGACTGTCTAAATGAGACTACAGAGGTTGTCGGGGACATTAAATATCATCACGTTAAAGATGAAAACTGATCCACTCACCAGTCCACCTTTACAGCCTGGTTGTCTTGATACAAACTGTCTCTAACTGTGTCAGAGGAAAAGCTTCTGTAGAAGAGATCAGAGCTAAATCAAACAACAAGTTGAAGTTTAGTGGTGGAGACGCTGAAGTCATGTGACCGTGGTGTAGTTGGTTTATAGCCTAGCATTAGCTTTTTACTTCTGCTGTAGAGACAGTATTTGAATTGCCATTAATGTAGTAACTTATTATTTGTAGTATTAAATTAATACTTAATTTAATTTGCCCTGCCACAGTTTAACATATAACTGCATTTAACTGTGATTGCAACAAACACACACAAACACACACTCCAATCAGCTGATTGTAATGAAGACAACCCCATACACACATAAAAAGCTCTACGTTATTGGCAATTTCACATGGGTGATGATCGGACGATCAGACCACCATGGTTAAGATTGCACATCCCTACTGGGCACCGAACACATCCTGAGCAGAATTTACCTGTGTGCATGTGTTAGAGACTATAAGCTGCCCAAACACAGGTGGTGCAGTTGCAGTTAGAAAAAACTATGTCATGTTTTTACATTATAAATCATATATCAAAATGATATTGCGTATTAGCATACAGTCTATGTTGGCTCTTAAGTGACAAGACTTTGTGGTATATTAAAGCCAAAGAAATGTTTGAGGTAGTTTAGAAAGAGTGCTGTCAGCACATAATCTGTTCAACTGTAAAATATCCTGCTCAGTACGTGACTTGTCACAATTCATCAATCAATCAATTTAAGGGATCGGAACCAAAGCCTTTGAAAATCCTTTTTTTTTGTTTTAATCAACCATGATTGATCCCAAAGATCAAATGACTTTCTGTAATGCGACAGGAGGGCGTTAAGTGTGAGAAATAAGGAGTGCGAGAAATATCACCCAGCTCTGCATTTGTACAGAGCTTTTTACTTCCTTCCGCATGTGTGCATATTCCTGTACAGCTCAGTTTTACTGCACTCATCAAGTAGGAAGCTGCTTTTAGCAACAAAAAGACGAAACACTCCAAAAACCCCTTCTACATGCTCCTGGTGTGACATGAAAAGTTGATTAGTGTAGCTTTAAGGTTTAGGTTTGAAAGTGGGATTCTGTCAAGTTAAATATAACTGTATAACTTCCTCCCTGCAACCTGAAAAACAACAAAAAAAATGAAAGCAGTCACCACAAGGCTTCTGTGTTTCCAAGTCAACAAGAAAACATGGACAGCTGGATGTTTACATCCGCCGGCCAGACACATGTATTGAGTGTCCTTTTAAACGAGATATACATAAAGGCACAAACACACACACACACACACAAACACACACGACAATGAAAAAAAAAATTCATAGAACATGGAACAATATGTTTTCTCTCAATAGCTTTTCATATGTTCACTGACGTGATCATTACTGGGCTCGAAAATCCCGCAGCTGTTCCATGTGTTTCATTTTTAGTTATGAAATGTTATGTCTTTAGCAGAAAGAGAATGCGCCAATAGAAAGCTCCTTCTGAATAGGACAGCTGCTGATTGTGAGCAGAATAGGAGGGCCAAGTCGTTTTGAATGTCAGCCATATTGGCTTTCCTTGATCACTCCGCACAGCATGTTTGTTTATGGAGGCAATGAAAGTCTAACCAACCGTGGAATACACCAGGGGGGAGCGAGGCTGCACGGGCAGAGGATTGTGATGGTTTTTACATCTGAGTAATGCTGGGTGCTATCTTTCATAATTTTGGGAGCAGGTATACAGTGTACAATAGTGTTGTACACTTCTGGAAGTTTCTCCATTTCCACACAGGATCTGTGGAGCTCAGCCAGAGTGACCATCAGGTTCTCGGTCTCCTCTCTTACAAACGTCCTTCTCCCTGATTGCTCAGTTTGGCCTGGTGACCAGCTGGAGTCGCGGTCGTTCCAAACTTCTTCCATGTCAGAACGTTGGAGGTCACTGTCCCCTGTGGAACCTTCAGTGCAGCAGAAATGTTTTTGGATTCTTCCCCTGATCTGAGCCTCGACACAATCCTGTCTCTGAGCTCTGCAGCTGTTCCTTCCTCCTCATGGTTTCTGCTCTGATCTGCATTGTCAGCTGTGAGACCTGATATAGACAGGTGTGTGTCTGTCCACACCACGTCTAATCAGCTGAGTTTACCACAGGTGGACTCCAGTCAAGGTGGAGAAACATCTCAGAGATGCTCAGGAGAAATGGAGGAACCCGAGCCAAACTTCAAGTGTCTGAAAACTTACAGTCTCTCAGTGTGATATTTCAGTTTTTTCTTTTTTAATAACTTTGCAAAAGTTTCTAAAATTCTGTTTTCACGTAGTCATTACGGGTGATTGAGCATCGAAGCACAAGGCTGCAACATGAGAAAATGTAAATAAACAGTAGGCGTCTGAAGACTTTCTGAATGCACTGTATGTACACATGCAGCACACACAGAAGGACATTATCATTCATTTGAAGTTGTGTTTCTATCCACCTGACAAATGTAAGCACGATATTCACACTGCTTTTTAGCTGTGGTTGGATGTCAGCCAACTCCTGAGAAAAACATCTGCTGAATGCGGCGCCATGTTCAGCAGCTAGTCACTAACTCTATCCGTCTCCTGTTTGGTGCAGGTCAGGCAGTGTGAGTTAAACAGATAATTATCAGATGGAAATAGGATTGGCTGAACTGAAACAGTAAAACAGAACACAATTAGCTGAGAGATGCTAAAATGCTCCGTATACTTAAGGCAAGTACAGATGTGCTGATCATTATCTGTGGGTTCATCACTACAAATCACCCCGTTCACATTATATCCATTATTTCAAGAAAAAAAAATGATTTAGTGCAACTTTAATTTGGACACATGGCATATTCTTATTCTTATAGGTTCATCTGTTCATCCATGGCCGTGTTAATTGAAAACGCACGAATTGTAAACATGTTTAGACTCTTACAGCATTAAGGATTCTTGTTAAGGATTCTTGTTGAAATCACCCCCAAAATACTTACACCTGCATTCATTTTTTTAAAATGAATAATTATTTTAATCATTATTAAAGATTTATGTTGTAATTTTGTTGATTACAACAGAATCTACGGGCCCTAAAACCAAACAATGATCTTAAAGAAGCTTGAAAGCTCAGTAGAGCTGAAGGAAACTGCAGAGTTGGGTGAAGATTTTCTGCGGGATCATCAAGTATGACCATTTTACATTACTTCTAGTTATTTGATCCATTGTTAATATAGGAAATACTGATAAGAGCAGCGTTATTGTTATGCAAGGTTAGTTTTGCATTATATAACATCGTACAGTCAGTGTGTTCTCCAACCTAAAGAACCATATAGGTAACTTTTCCCTATCCTTGAATATGACCTGTATAGCGAACCAGCAGCAGCAGTACTGGACCTTAATTGTCATGGTAACAATAATCAACTGATGTTTACGTATGTGGAACTGTGAGAGCTCCACAACACTGTTTTGTTTTTGTTTTTTTTAACTACTTGATTATGTTCAAGAAAGTTGGTGGTAAGTACTTCCTTAGCGTTACAGGATCGTAGCCCTTAGTTATCAGTTTCACAAACTATCCATCCATATGCCCCAACCCTCCAAACATGGACTTTGTCATCATCCATTATACATGTTCTTTATACCACGTCACCTGACTTCCTCCTTTGCTCCCTACTATTACTACGGATGCTAGATGTCGCCTAGCAAGAAAACATAACTTAAGGTCGAATAATAAATGTGTCATCATTTGATTGTGAGTGGTGAGTGGGAAATCTTGCTGAGTGCATTGCATGATGGTTAATCTAACCATCATGCTATGCTCTCTGCAAAACAGTGATTGAAATTGTGCAGGTCTGATGCATCATGTCAGTCTGCACAACTTCAGTCTACTAGTGTATTGATATGTGAAAACGGTTGGGGAGGCCACAGCTGAAGAGCGGCAGCAACACAGCGTCCGCCGATGCAGACACCAAGGCAACATGGAGACGGCGGCCTCACTCCCACCGCCTGACTTACCCCCACCCCTTCTCCCGCAACTTCAACAAGTACAAGATGACCTCAGTAAAGAACAGCCTGTGCAGGTGTGTCTACTGGTTGCAGCTTTACCAGCTGTGCTCCAGCACATCTGGGACCAGACTTCAGACCATGTGTTTTATATATACATAAATTATATATTTTAGTAATAATATTATATATCTTATATATCTACCATCCATAAATCATGCTTCTTTAATTTTTTTGTTACAAGAAACATTAAAATTTCCTTTACTTTTGCTGTTACCATGGACAACGATTGTGTTTATGTGTAATCGCACATTATGACTGTTTGATCCAGATAAAAGCAGCTACATAAAAAAGCTGAGCTATATAAACTGGGCGATTATCAGTTTTTCTTTGGATGATGATGACTTTTAGGTGTTCACACTAGTGCACCTCGACTAATTTCAGATGCACCCTGAGTCATTTCGATCTGGAAAGGTGCATCCACAGAGCAGCGCACAGTCGCTCATGTGTTACCTGGTGTGAGGAGGATGACCGACATGGTGATGAGGGAGCAGACCACCAAGATGACCAGCAGAGCGATGGCAATCCCCTTCCAGTTCCTCTGAGGAGGACTCACCCCACCCAGGTCCTGCAGACAGAGAGAGAGAGAGAGAGAGAGAGAGAAAGAGAGAGAGATGGAGGTCAGAGGGGCAAAGATGAATACAGCCCCTCCTCCTGCTGAGCTAGGCTTGGATAGATGTACACATTTTACATCGCTTTAAGTTTCACAGATGTGATACATACAAACTTGATTGTTGTATAAAGCTAGATATTTGTTCAGACACAAATATGAAAGAGGCGCGCAGCACATAGCACGACACAGCTCCATCCTGACATGATCACACTGCACACAGTGTTTACGGTACCTATTAATATGGGTGACAGTGAGGTTTTGTATTACAGATACAATCCCCTGCACGGTGAAGAGCTTTGCATGAGCCCCAACCGTGAGCCTGAGAGATGACACCCGGAGTCTCTGGTTCATGTTTCAATGCTGAAAAGCTGAAAAGCATTTGCATGGTTCAGTCATTCTCCTTGGCCAACCTTCCCTTCGACTGACACCCTCTGACCTGACACAGTCTGTCTGCCAAAGCCAGGAGTCACTTCTTTCTGTGTTATGACCCCGAAACAGAGATGTTGATACATCCGGCAGATGAGAAATACAGCGGGCATCTGCATTCAAATGTTCCACTGACCAGAGAGACTGCAGAAAAGGCTTGGTGCTCGCAGGCTGAGTGACCGTGGAGTATACTGTGTGTGATATTATCGACAGTGAAACAGCTATCCAGGAGAGCTTGTGAAGCTCTTTCCTGCAACTCCACGTCTGAGTCCTGGTATTAGAGGGTCTTAAAGCGGGTATTCCACCACATCTGCTGCCTCTGATAAGGTGAATTAAGCCTCCCACCTATAAATTTCTCCACTCGGCAGCGTCTCCTGGCCTCAATTACCCACAAAACCCTGCAGGTGAAATGCAGTGATTAGTAGCCCCCAACCCAATACTACACCTTGACTGGTTGGAGGGGAGGGAAAACAAAGGAGCTTTCTTTGTGTCTCTCTCATGATGTTTTCTGAAATACATCTTCTGTGTACTTGACTTGGTGGTTTGAAATCAGTGCGGCTCAGTTTGGTCACGACTAGAAATTAAATACTGACTGATGAGCAAATAATAACTCAAGTACCCACAGTTATTTCACATGTACCACAGCGGCAGACAGACCCATACAGAAATGTAACAATTGACTTATTGTATGGCTTTATATCAAGAGTGATGTTGCCACATATGTTACCTATAAGGGGATATATTATTATCACATATACTGTATACATCCTCTGGACATGTGGACATATATGTTCATATATGAAATACCTTTGTTAAGTTTGTTTGTACATATATTAAAGGTCCCATATGACCAGTCGGTGAGCAAATCAGAAGAGAAGCTCAGAGCATCCTCTCTTCTGATTGGCTCCCTGACCTGTTGTTACTAGAGCTCCAGAGAGAAGCCTGAGAGAGGAGATGTAAAACTACACTGAGATGGTTTTTGTTTTTTAAACCACAAATATATCTTCTTATGGATCAACACTTCATATAAAACACAGAAGAAGAGGAAAATATGAAGCTTTAAAAATGTCTATATAATGATTTATTATATGGTATAACATTTTGCAACCTGGGTTGCAATATGTTAATTTAAGTTTATCAAAACAACATACATATAAAAACTCTATATGTTTATATATGTTTTTACTTATTAATTCCTCATTAATTTTAAACATTTCTATCTTATCATTCTGGGAAAGTCTTCTCAGACTGATTATAATATCAACATATACTGACAGGCTTTGGGATGGATAGATATTTATATAAAATATGTCTACAATATAAACATACATACATAAAGAGAAACATGTCAGTGTCAATATATGAAATTGTTCCAATTCCTAATAGGTTTTATATAGAATTTTTACAAATATGTACTGCATATTTTATGTATGGATTTTCACTATATGTAAATGTAATACATTTGCATATAGAAAACGGTTTGGCTTTTTTTTTTAGAGTGATAGGTGAACCTCAGAGTTCTTTGACCTTCTCTAACACACAGAGGCAGCTCATCGTCACCAGGACTGCAGACACATATTACATGGATGCAGTTTTACATCACTTACAGCCCCCACTGGACTCATAAGACTGATCTATTATCAGGACTTGGACCGCTGCTCATTTCATTAATAGCACAAAGGGCTGATGTGTCCTTGAAAACTGACGGCAACTTTTAAATTGCCCTTGTGCCTCCATGCATGAGATTCTTTCTCCCTCTCCCTACGCACTTTCTCCCTGTCTCATTTTCTCCCCCAATTTCCTATTTAGCCACTTTTGAATCATCATCCTCAATTTATTGACCTAATTATGAGCAATGATAGAGGCACTAAGAGAATTTTGACCAGCTTAGTCACTGAATTACCATTATTGCAGAAGCATAGAAAGGACCCTGATAAACGGTTAGCCCACCAGAAGGAATGAGACGGCAACTGGGCTTTATCATAATCGTTAGACCCTCATCAGAGGAAATAAATTTCTCTATAAATCTATGTAGGCTGGAGGATAGACTGAGGCCTTCATGGGCTCTTTTATAAAATGGGACCAATAAGCATTACAGGCACTATTATATATATAAAAAAGAGCTAGCTAACTAGTATCGTCAGAACCTTTACTCTGTGACATTAACATGATTTTATCAGACACATTATTATTCTTATAATAAAAAAGATAAATCTGATAGATGTCAACTCCACTAACACAAACAACACATGCACTAACACTTTCCTCTACCTGCTTTTTTTTTTTTTCTGTCAGCATGTCATTCACTTTCTAAATGTGTTCATTTATTTCACATAAAGGTGCCATTCTGTAAGTCTGCACAGGGACATGCTGGGTTATAAATAAACTCCTGACAGGCTGTGCAGTAAGAACAAGAAAGCCTGCGCACTTCATTTCTCTGTGCCTGAAAGTAAAAGTACAAGGACAAAGCTCCGTTCCTATAAAAGTGTCTCTTCATTTTCTCCTGTGTCCCTCTTTAGCAACATGACACCAAGACAGCTCGTAGGAGTCCGACAGTTATTATACTGGTAACCTGCTTTATACATCTATAAATGTATAGCTGTGCTGTGCAGGGGTAGAATCTGCTGTTAACTTTATTTATAGTCTTTGCTAAGGTTGCCATGTCATATCTGCAGTGATTGCGTAATTGCATATATTTAAATGTCAGAACAAAATGTCAAAATAGCTAAAGTGTTATAAGTGACCTCTGGTGCTTACTGTGCAATGAACCAACCCACTGACTGAGCTCAAACAACAGTTTCTATCCTTAAAGCCAGAGGTCAAATTAAGTTTAGCTACTCGGGCTAAAGTTAAGTTATATTATGAAGAAACTTTGCTCTCTCATCGTGTATTGGATGAGGAGGTTGATATCATTGTCATCTCTGTGGGTTCAGTAGAGAAAATAGTCCCATACATGTTTAGCCTACATTAGCACACATACTGGGACCAGGGCCTGTATTGTACAAGTGGTAAATGGAATGAACTTATATAGGGCTTTACCGGTCTTGTCGACCACTCAATGCACTTTACATTACAAGCCACATTCATAAAGTTTTTCCTACATATAGCGCTTTTTCTACCATACACACACTCACACACTGATGTTTCATAGGGGGAGATATGGGGGTCAGTATCTTGCCCAAGGACACTTCAACATGTGCAGTGAAGGAGCCAGAGATCTTCTGATTAATGGGTATATATATATATATATATATATTTATATATATAGGTTTAACATATATAAACATATATGTGTGTGTGTGTGTGTGTGTATGTTTGTTCACACACTTTTGTTACTCTGAATGACACCTACCTGACTCTTGCAGCAGCTTGAGGCGTAGTACCTTGCAGCGCTGGGGAAGCACTGCAAAACTACCAAATAATTTACACTGGAAGACGTTGAACTACAGCAAAGCTACCCGTGGGACAAATCTAGTTTGGTTAGCCTGAGCTTCTTTCGAAAAAGTAGTTCAGCTACTCAGTAGTAAAATGATCAAATGTACATTTGATATGAAACTATAACAAAATATAATACAAAAAAGTCATATTCCATTTTTTGTACGAAGATGCACTAAACATGCCCTGAATCAAAGTGAACAGAGATGAAATTTTCCAACAACAAACAAACATATTTCACTTTGTAAGAGTCCCTGTGTAGCCATTTGTTATGTTGGAATAAAACAACCAGGAGGTTGTTTCCTCTAACTAGGGTCCAGATTGGCTAAATGTACTATGACAACTACTTGCAGTATTACTAATAGTGTGAAAGATATGACAGAGCTCTACCTGAACAATATTTAAATCAAGAAATAATTCTATTAAAAAGAGAGATGTGTTTTGAAGTGTGTTTGACATCCATCAATCATCTGTTTTCTGCTTCCATTTTTGAAAATAAAACAATAAACTCAAAGGGACATGTGTGTTGCACTCGGTGTTATTTCTTCCTCCGGCGAAGTGAAGCGTAATCTCCACAGGCAGCTGTTCAAATCACTCAAATCTCCCTCGGTCTATATGTTTTGATCTCTACGTTATTGATCCTGACCAGCAATTTTATGAGCTTTTCAGTTTCTCCATGGGCGTTTACAGTAGATGCTACAGTGAGCTGAGGAAATAAAATAAATCTCTCAATAGAGACGAATGTTGTATTCTGTTTACAGATCATGGAGCTCCCATGAAAACTATTTTTATCTATTCATTCTGATATTAATCAGCCCGCTCCTCTGCTGCTGATAAGACAGCAGCTTCTGAGGCGGGACGCTATTACAGAGGTCTACATGTATGTGCATTAAACTGGAGTTCTACAGGGGAGGTGGGATGATTTTAACGTTACCTGTACTGGTCAGTGATTTTAAGCGTCAATGCAGGTACTATGCAATAATAATACAGCTGCAATTACTTATTGTTTTTGCAAAAACAATAAGATATATTTCAGTTATATATTTAGTTTCATCTTTGCAAACTGTCAATGTTAAAAGTTACTGAATAAGCCA